GGATTGGTTGAGGCCAAGAGTTTGAGACCAGGCTAAGCAACATAGTGACACCCCATCTCTACAAAAAATTTTTAAAATTAGCCAGGTGTGGTGGAACATGCCTGTAGTCCCAGCTACTCAGAAGGCTGAGGCAAGAGGATCACTTGAGCCCAGGAGGTTGAGGCTGCAGTGAGCTATGATTATGCCACTGCATTCCAGCCTGGGCAACAGAAGGTGACCCAGTTTCTTAAAAAAGAGAGGGAAGGGGTGGTCATAGTGGCTCACACCTATAATCCTAGCACTTTGGGAGGCCAAGGCAGGAGAATCGCTTGAGGCCAGGAGTTTGAGACCAGCCTAGGCAACATAGTGAGATCCTGTCTCTACAAAACAAACAAATAAACAGTATCAAATGTAAATCACCACATTAATACAAAAAGTAAAAATAAATTAATGTAAACACAAATATCCATAGACCGATTTATTCATCTTCTACACGAAACTGGATGCATGATTACTTTCATTAAAATCACTTAAACAATGGCATAAAGAAAACATGAATCTTTTATACTTCCTGAGTTTTATTAGTTCCAAGTTATTTTGCTACTATAACATATATGATTATTTTAAAGATGAACTGCTTAAGACTAACTTCTCCTTCTTTTCTTTTTCTTTTTTTTTTTTTGAGATGGAGTCTCGCTCTCTCGCCCAGGTTGGAGTGCAATGGCGTAATCTCGGCTCACTGCAACCTCTGCCTCCTGGGTTCAAGTGATTCTTCCATCTCAGCCGCCCGAGTAGCTGGGATTACAGGCATCCGCCATCATGCCCAGCTAATTTGTGTACTTTCGTAGAGACGGGTTTTCACCACGTTGGCCAGGCTGGTCTCAAACTCCTGACCTCAGGTGATCTGCCCGCCTTGGCCTCCCAAAGTGCTGGGATTACAGGCGTGAGCCACCACGCCCAGCCAAGACTAACTTCTTAAAATAAAACCAAAAAAACTTTTTCTCTCTCGCATGTTTCTTTCATATATAGTAGTTTCTTCTTATTGAGATTTAAAGTACTTTACCAAAAGGGAGGCCATTAAAAAGATCAGGAATCTGAAAGTTACTTTTGGCTTTTAGAATTAAAGTTGATTTCGTTACCTATCTGACCTCATCCTGTCAAAAACATCCAACCTACCTCTCCAAAATTAGTCATGTTCTAGTTGGCTTCAACTAGAAGTATTTCTCCCACTAGTCCATTAAGTTCAAAAAAGAACTGGGAGGTGAGAATGAGAATTCTATTTAATTTATGTGCAAGAAAGGAGGTTCAGGCAATGACTGAGAAACTGAGCAATGATGGCATGTAAGAGAAAGAATGTATGAGCAAAGCTAATGTTAGGTATTGTAGCAGGCCGCAAAACTAGAGGTGCTCATATATTTTTTTCTTTTGCTCTTAAAACAAATAATAAAAATGTACACTTTGCGTTAATGAACTTAAAAATCTTGCCGAAGTATGTGTTAACACAGAGAGAGCCCAAGGCTGGCTGCCAGCACTCCGCAGTCTGTAATTACATATCAGCAGGTAGACACTCTCATTGTGACTCCTTGAATTTAACTATTAACAACAACAACAACAAAAAAAGCCTTTAAAAATCTCCTTACCCAAATATTTCAGTAGAGTTTCCAATTTCAATTATCAATAATCTCTGTTTTTACTCTGAGTTTCTCAATGTAAAAACTAAAGGATATAGAAATTTCCTTAACGGCCAGGCGTGGTGGCTCAGGCCTATAATCCCAGCACTTTGGGAGGTTGACGCAGGCAGATCCCACGAGGTCAGGAGTTCAAGACCAGCCTGGCCAACACAGTAAAACTCGCCTCTACTAAAAATACAAAATATTAGCTGAACTTGGTGGCGCATGCCTGTAATCCCAGCTACACAGGAGGCTGAGGTAGGAGAATCGCTTGAACCTGGGAGACAGAGGTTGCAGTGAGTGGAGATCGCACCACTGCACTCCAGCCTGGGCAACAGTGCGAGATTTCTTCTCAAAAAAAAAAAAAAAAGGAAGAAATTCTTCAGAAAATTATATAGATCAGTGTTGTGGGCTAACCTGGGTTTTTTTTTTTAAATTCAAAAAAAAAAAAAAAAAAAGAAATTTCTTGAACTAAATCAAAATGATCCTAAATTCAAAATCAAGAACCAAGGAACCATTAAGAAAATTTTTAACTTTGGGTCAGCGGAGGGAAAATAAAACTAGAGAATATAAGGAGGGCCTTCTTTTTGTTTTGTTTTGTTTTCTACTGAAACTTACTATTTGCCATTAAGAACTGCAAACTATACTACTAAGAATGAATAACATTCCCTTCATTAAGACTTTTTCAAAACACACAAGACAAAACTCCCCTTTGCTCAAGGTGTTCCACACACTCCCACTGCAGCAGGCTCCACAGCTCCCAGTACAGTGGCACACCATGGACTCGGATGCAGAGCCCAAGCAATGGAGATCATCCCATCCTTCCCTCCTTCCCCACCGCAACTACACCCAAGGGAGAAAGGACACGAGGAAATAAACTATGTCTTCAATGCTTGGGGGAGTGGGGGTGTCCTCTGCTACCCAGGTGGGCCGGTCAGTGCAGAGTGGGTGGCACGTGTCCACAGGGCCTTCTTTTAACTCACTACCCTAATCTATAATCCAAAGAGCCTTACAATGACATTTGTGGCATGTTGAATAATGGCCCCCTAAATACATCTATATCCCAATCCCCCATACTTGGGAATGTGTTACCATACATGGTAAAAGAGACCTGTATTAACAGGATTAAGGATCTTAAAATGGGGAGATGAGGCCGGACATGGTGGCTCCCAGCACTTTGTGAGGCCAAGGTGGGTGGATCACTGGAGGCCAGGAGTTCGAGACCAGCATGGCCAACATGGTAAAACCCCGTCTCTACTAAAAATACAAAAGTTACCTGGGCATGGGGTGTGTACCTGTAGTCCCAGATACTCAGGAGGCTGAGGTTGCAGTGAGCTGAGATCACATCACTGCCCTCCTGCCTGGGTGACAGAATGAGGTTCTGTCTCGAAAACAAAAACAAAACAAGGTGGGCGTGGGAGAGAGATGGTCCTGGGTTATCTGAGACGGCCCAATATAATGACAAAGGTTCTTGCAAGAGGGAAGCAGGAGGGTTGGAATTAGGAGTAGGAGATGTGACGATGGAAGCCATAGGTTGGAGTGATGGAAGGAAGGGGCTGAGCTAAAGAATGCAGGTGACCTCTAGAAGCTAAAAAAGGCAAGGACACATTTTTCCTTCAGAGCCTCCAGGAGGAACAGTCCTTGCTGCTGTCTTCACTTTCACCCCGTGAGACCCAGCTTGGACTTCTGACCTCCAGAACTACAGGCTAACAAATCTGTTTTTTCAAGTCACTAAGTTTGTGGTAATTTGTTATAGTAATAATGAGACATTAATCAATCTTTTATTACAGTTTTAAGGGTTGTGAAGTTTATTAGGTATTATTACTATTAATTTAATTAAAGCTCCAACAAATAATAACAAAAGAAGGTTTGAAATTGCCAGGCTTTTCCATGCCACACACCTCTGTGGGAACCACCAATATCTAGAGAGCTTTAGAGAAAATAAGACAGACATGACAGCAAGGAAAACATGATTTTATATAAGATAAAGAAAGTCTTTAATTCCTGTGTTACTTGGTAATAACCTAGTGCAGGACTCAAAGAACTTATAAACGATGTGAAAGTTCTAAACAAAAGTGTAGCCGTCAGCTTCAGATAAATAAAAAGCTAGGTGATGCTCCAGGATGTAAAAGTGAACGGGCTTCTCTACACAAAAGCAACTCTTAGAAGAATTGTGACCCTGCAAAGGTACGCTTAGGTAACTTTGACCTATGATAAAAATCCAAACTCTCAAATCTCACTTCTACTAAGGAAGAAAATCCTTAGAACTGCTTTATACCTTGCCTTTTCAAGACAATTACATTCTAGCTACATTTCAGTTTTCTACATGAGATGCCCCTCCTTTTATCAGGGAGACAGGGGATACATGATGCTATACCAGAAAGTGTCAGCAAACATAAATGGCTTATTTTCATATTTACAGTTTCTCTATAGATTGCAGTCACTTTCTTTTATCAGTAAATGGTGAGTTTGTATTCATTAGGCAAAATGCTGACAGTTTACTAAAGCATGAACAGATCGAGGCAGTGAAAAGTGCTTTTAAGGCACTGTCAGATAAGCAGACTAGTAAAATTTGAGAAGACAAAAAGCTGGACTGCCTATAAGCCACTCTAAGATCTATTTTTCCTAAATTATCATAAAATTACAGCCTTTAGAATAAGTATGCTCTGTGTCAGCAGTGACATAAATCAACCTTCTTAAGTGAAGGTGAGAGGGTATACAATTTTAGCAGTTTTCCTTTCTACTTTATTACTTATTTTATTTCTTATTATTTAAAAAAGAACCTGTTAACCAAAGTAATAGTATTCTAAATATCACCCTTTCCCTTCTTTCTCCCCAGCCTAGTTCCAGCTGATACTAAATTAAAAATAAATAGGCCGGGTGTGGTGGCTCACACCTGTAATCCCAGCACTTTGGGAGACCAAGGCAGGCGGATAACTAGAGGTCAGGAGTTCGAGAGCAGCCTGGCCAACATGGCGAAACCCCAACTCTACTAAATATAAAAATTAGCCAGGTGTGGTGATGCTCACCTGTAATCCCAGTTACTTGGGAGGCTGAGGCAGGAGAATCGCTTGAACCTGGGAGATGGAGGCTATAGTGAGCCAAGACTACACCGTTGCACTCCAGCCTGGGTGACAATAAGACTCAACAACAACAAAAAAAGGGGGGGGGTGCCGGGGGGGGAGTACTTTTAAAGTTTATCAATTTTCAGGCTATTTGCTTTTCATCTTAAATTTTCCTTATTTTCACAATAGTTCTTTCTGAAGAGATGGAAACAGATAATCCCTTGCTTAAAGAACCCCAAGGAAAAGCTCCTTTGTCCCTATCTGACATCCTCAGTACAGTTCTCACCTGCTATTTTGATATTCAGATTGGCATCCAGAAGTAAATTTTCAGCTTTTAAATCACGATGAACAATGTTCCGACAGTGACAAAAATAGACAGCTGTGACGATCTGTTTGAACTTCCGACGGGCCTCCTTTTCTGCCATTCTACCATGGGCCACCAGGTGGTCTGTGTTGAAGAAGAATACAGTCAGTTTTCATTTTGGACACTTGGGTAATTTCAAAAGGTAGACTTAAGGAGGGCTACAAGGGGCCCTCTCAAGTAAGTGAGTGAAAGAGGCGAAATGAACAACGAGAGAACAACACATTGATAGTCCTGGTTTGCATCTATCAAAATTCATTAGTAATACGTAGCCAAACTATTATAAGTATAAATCCTGTTATACAAAAGTATGCATAAGAACACACTAGTACTTTCATTAGGAAAAGAGAGTTCTGAGGGTTATACGGTGTTTTTCAAGGGTCATAGAACTCAGTACCTTTCTTTTCATATCCCCACTGCAGAAGATTGCACAGACATGAGCAAACACACACATGAAGATAAGTATCAGAAATATTTCCTGTGTTAAAGAGGAGGTAAAAAAGCAAGGCCCCAATATTCAATCATTTAAGGAAAGGGTGGACAGAAATTAGTCACTGCTAAGGGGAGAAAACTGCTCGATAGAACACTCTGTTTTGGTTACTATCTTTTCTGCTTTCTCAAAGTTCTTAGATTTGACATAAAAACACACTTACTTGGTAACTGTTCTCTGGAGCGAACAGTGATATACCTACATCTTTATATATGCATTTATGGGGCTTACCAAATGGTTCTTAAAGAATGTTAATTTTTACAGATAACATCAATTAAAAACCAAGTGAAGTTTCTATCAACTTAAATAAAATCATTTCATTGGCCATGTTGTTAACTAAGGCATATCAAAAGAATTTACATGTGATAAAATCTATAATACTATAAAGCAGGCTATCCTCAATATTCAAAAATGATTTGATGGATTAGCAGGTTCTTTAAGAACTTTCCAATAATAGCAGTAGGTTTATACCACACCAATGACATACATATCTTTGACTCAGTTCTTTATCAAACCAACAACACATACAGGTCATGACAGCTAGTGGGATTAGAAATGTCAGCTATGATACAGTTGCTCTGTTAGAAATGTCTAATGGCCTCATGAGCACTGTCCTTTAATCAACTGATCTAGCTGGGAAAAGGACATATTTGCCATCCTAAGCATCCTGAGATAGTAGGAAAGTGAAAACTGAGGGAACACAGATAAATACATTGTGATTTATCAACAGTAGTTTTGGTAAGAATACAGAATTGTTTTGGTGACATCTCACTCCCTCTCAGGACCAGTCAGGTGTATCTTTCCTTCACCACAAAGAGGAAGTTCAGGGTGGCACATATTTACTAGCAATAACTGCCAAGACTGAGCGCTTGTGGCAAGAAATGGCAGGGGAGAAGGCTGAAGAAGGGGAGCTAGATGCCAGCCCATCTACAGAGCAGATTGTAAAATAATTCAAACTGCATTCTGACCACAAGGTATATAACATTTGGGAATGCAAATGTGATAGTCACTTTAAGAACATATCTTATATGTAGATAATATAAATCATTTCAAAAGATCCTCTAAGGAATTATTGTAATTTTTGTTCACCACACACAAGGCTTTTGAAGCATCTCCCTCAAAAATACAAGTCATTGTTATAGCCAAGATTACCAATTTAATAGGAAAAAAAAGGAGAAAATAAGAAGTCTTCCACTTAGCAGTTAAAAGGACTAGAATCAAGCTTTCCCCAGGAGGTCAGAGGTGGGGATAAGTAAGCTCCCATTCAGGTGTGTTTAGGCTTCCAGTGAGGTCTGCTATGAACTTTAAACAACACGAAGTCCAAACTAGGGGCAGTAACTTAACAGAAGCTGTGAAAGAACTGGCCGTCCATCAGAGGTAGAACGCTATGTTTTAAGAGGCCATTTTATAACAGTACCTGCTCCTTTGACCCCCTATTTCTCTTAACCCAAGGCCTAATTATTCTAATAATATGTTTTAGTTGCTAAACCTTGTCTAATTAAAGAGCTTTGAAGAGACAGCTATTCTTGAGAAACATAAAAATAAACCCTTATGAAGGTTTACCATCAGAAGCTCATTTGGCCAAGCTACCCATTAATTAAAATGCCCAAGAGACATTCATCTGGCAGTAAATACTAATTACCAGAACACATCAAAGCGCTTCTTAAATGCTGCAGAATGATTAATTTCACAATTTCCAAAATAAGTGATTTTCTTTTATTAAGAAACTCTTTATAAATTTCTAAGTACCTTGTTTTCCTAAAGTGATTGGAAAGTTCTCAAAACTGTTATACAGGCCAGAGCTGCTGGAATGCAGCCTAGTTCTGTTTTATCTCTACAGTGACACATCAGTTGTCCCTGGACAAATCATTTATCCTGCCAATATCCCCGCCTCTTGATCTTCTAAATACAAGTAAACTCTGTTCCATGCTATACCCAAAGGAAGAACAGAATACTTGGGAATAAACGCATACTCTGATTAAGAGTATCACATGTCAAAACCTTAACTTTCAAAGATGTTGCAAAAGACATTTTTGAAAAGGTCCACTCAATACTATATAGGGAATACTTAAGCATCTAGTTAATAGAGCACAAAGTCCTTCAGGATTCTGTAGAGCTTAAAGGTGATTTTCTATACATCGAATGTCCCTGTTAATAGTTCTGGTTAAAAGGTGTCTGTAAGAGCGCACTGGGTAACACAGCTTAAACTATAATACTTTCCCCAAAGTTACCTTCAGTACCCCTATAGTTATAGATACAAAGAAGACAAACAAATCACTTTTTTTTCCCCTGGACTCTAAATACACTTACGGAACAAATCACTTTTTTTTTTTAAGTGTTTGCATTAGATATTTGCTCCCAGTCATTGTGTTTGGGGTTCAAGTTTTCTTCTCTTTGGGAGCACTGTGCTCTTCACATGCAAGCCCCTCCCAGTGGCTCACTCGCATTCAGACTCAGCCTCTCCTCTGATTTTTGCCCATCTTATCCCCCCAACCCCTACTCCCACTGGTTTGCTTTCACTGTAAACCCACGAGGTCTAGTGGGTGTGCCAGGAAGCCAGTGGCCTGCAGTGGTTTTCAGTCCCTGCTGAAAATCGCCTTTCAGCTGCCTGCTGACAAATGGCTGCTTTATATTCGTATATGCTCTAGAGGCAGGCAGCAAACATTCTTCAAGTTCAAACGTGATATTTAACTTTCAGTGAAGAAATCCAGAGCTGTAGCCCAGTCTGGACTTAACACATAGTCACAGCATTTTAACAAATACTGCAGTACTTTCAGAAGGCAAATGAAACCAAATGGCTTCTGAATCCACTCAATATGCAAAGCGAAATACATGTTGAACCTTGTCCGGATAAACTCAAATTGCAAGGAACTCTAGAGTTGTTCTGCTTCTTCCAGGCAATTCAGTGAACTAGCTCTCCTAAATACTGAGCCACAAATACTACCCATATCCTCATCCCAATCATCCACACTGCAGCCATGCCCTCAGCTAGAGTCCTGCCCCCTCCCCACCCCCACCAATTTAAACAAACCTCAATTAGACACCTGCTGCGTAAAATCAAGTCCACCACACTAAGCTTTTTTCACCATCAATCAACTACTTATCTATTTAGTTGCCATTATAGGCCTGGGACAAATTTAAAGTTTTCTTTGACCACAGCTTCACTCCAAACATGTACCCAGACAGGGATGAGGTAACTCTCGGCTAAAAGGGAAAAAAAATGGCTCTCCTGTTTCAAGTGCTTTTCAAAAGTAAAAAGAGTTTAAATTCTCTTTCTCACTTTCCCATGACCATGATTTGGCATTGGTCTTCTTTAATCTTTTTGGTCTGCCCTTCCTTGCAAAATGAAAAGAAGTAACTGATACTAAGAGATTTACAGACCCCACAAAGAGTAATATTGTTAGAAGTAGAGGAAATTGATTTTGAAGTTTCTAAAGCATTAGAGCACCAGCATGTAAGTTTGCTTCAGAATTCACTGTTTGTAATTTTGTCCCGATCTTACTCAGGAAGAAAATATCTTGTGGTACATTTAGGTTCTGACCTTTCAAAGAGCAAAAATACACAGAAGCCAGTCTTAGCTTCCCTAGGCCAGCTTCAGTGGAGTGTCAGAGGTATGCCACTAATGGGATAGTGGTGGGGAGCCAACATTTCTTAAAATAAGTCACTTTTCCACTCTAAACAGACAGTGTCTCCATTTGTCTGCTAAGTCTACAACTCATAGCTGATGCAAAACACTAGCTGAAAACGAACATACCCTGACAGCAGGATGAGCAATAGGCAGAAACATCACAATTCAGTGAAGAATTAACCCAGCCTAGAAAGGGGGAAAGGCAGTATGTGTGCTCATCTTCATCTTAGGTGACTACCTGAAAAAAGTTCTGCCAATTCCAAACTAACCACAGCTAGTAGTTATTTGCTTTGCCACTCAGTTCTATCATTTCTTCTTCCTACACCCATGGAAACGACTTCCTGTTTATCAAACAAACGCTTCTTTCCAAAAAAGCAGGGCGAGGCCAAGCTAACACAGCTCCCCCTAAGCAGGTTAATAAGAGTGCACTCACTTTCATATCCTATTGTCCTCTAACTCCCAGGCGCGGCTGCCACTGACCAGAGGAAGACGGTTTGTCATTTTGTCTTCCTTGCCAAGAATCCGACTACCTCTTACCGGGCTTCTTGACTTGTTGCTGCTTCTTGTTACTATCTCTTTTCTTCGCTCTTCCATTGACCAGGCCAAAAACTTTTATGGCATCTTTCATTCTTCTCTTTCTCTCACACCCTGCATCCTCTCCATCGGCAAATTCTATTAACTCTACATTCAAATCATATTCAGAATCCAACTATTTCTCACCCGTGTCTTCACTCCACTCTAGTGCCACCAGCCTCATTTAACAGCAACTACCTTGCTGCTAGATTTCTGCAAAAATCTCGTAGGATTACTCCTCAAAAGAGCAGCCAAGGTAGTAATCTTTTCTTTAAAACTTTTTATTTTGAGATAATTATAGATTCACAGGAAATTGCAAAGACAGTGCAGAGAGGTCCCGTGTACCCTTTGCCCAGTGTCCTCCAATGGTTAAATCTTATATAATTATAGAACAAT